ATTTATTTATTCAGGAACAATATTAAATAATTTATTTTATTCATTCTAAATTAAAGCTATCAATTATTTATGTACATATTTATTATTAGTTTTGTTAATTGTTTTGTTATCGTGAATATCACTTGGTATTGAGAAGCAGAAACCAGTTGGGTAGGAAAGGATTCCATAAGACGGGACAGGGTGAAAGTTCTTGAATATAATGATACAGTAAGTACCGATGGGAATAAACGCATCAGTCGGCATACGAGTCACAGAAGATTGCTTAGAAAAATAGTTTATTACGTAAAAACTAATTAAAAAATGTACAAAAGAAATAACAGAGCAAAACGCTTACAACTAGTAGTAGGTACTGGTTACCGCACAGAGCTAATGATCACGTACATTGGTTATTATTCTATAAGTATGTTGATTAACTGCTTCAGTAGGCTCAATACTGGCGGGAGGACGATCGTTTCCGATTTATCGTTCGTTGGCTTTTTACGGGAAGGCCGCGGGCGTACGGTTTGTGTGCGTTTGTTGAAAGATAGTAAATGCCTCGTGCTCTGTAACAATCCGAACAATTTCTTTTCACCTCTTTTCATTCATCGTTTAGTAATTAACTTTTCATTTAATAATTCCAATTATTTTCCTTAAATCTATTTATAGTATATTTTCAATTTGTTATCTTTCATTATTTCTAAGATGATTCGATATATTCATTGTAAATGAACTCACGTGTGCGGGGCGTCTTCGCCCATGAGTATGTACTCCTCGAGTTTCGGTTTGCACCAACCGATCAGGTAAGAAAAAAGGTTTCCGCAAGGCGCTGCCCAGAATCCCACTTTCGTCGTAATCGACTCGATGTAATACGGTGTCACCTTTGTGTGATCGCACGATAGTGTCTCTGCGGGTAAAATGTTTCACTGATTTTCTTCACGATTGACAGTATACATAGAATTATTATATTCCTTACATATATGCACAATTCATATCCTATTACAATAAGTAAACGTATTAAATGCTTTGGTCCTATAAGATTAAATCTTATTAGTAGGGTTGTGCAGGTAAAGTCAATGGAAGAGCTTTAGTGAGGTCGTAAATAAAATCTCTTAAGTAGGGATGTGCGGGTGAAGTCAGTAGAAGAACTTTAGTGAGGTTCGCCCATCATAAAATTGGTCATAAAAAGTAATAACCGATACCTGTTGTGGCCCCTATTGTGGGCGACCACTTAGGGTCGTCTTTACCAGACTTAAAAATACTTTTCACTGAACAGAAGAATTTATTTGGAATTCCTGGCTATAAAAACCAGGGTGTTCCCGGTATCCGGGTATTTCCAGGTTTGCCTGTACACAATAAAGTGAAAGAATCGGTGTAAAAGATGCTACTTACGAAGTATGGAAGTTGTCGCGCATCCGGGCTGACTTGACCCTCCGTTCACGTAAAAATCTGCGTGCCCCGTCGGCCCCCATTGGCCCAAGATCCCCGCACCTGTATGAATCACGTCGACGAAATGCGCGTCCGTCTCGTCTAAATCCATCGAACGGTTGCCACCGTTCATGTAGAAAAATATCGTCGGATCGAGTCCTACATGCCCAAGAATATGAAAATTCACATTAGAAATGATATTGTTCAGTGAAAAATATTAAAACTACTTTGCACCTGGAACTTATTATTATTAAATATGTCCTATTATCATCATTTTAAAGTATCGATACTATTCGCAAATATTATTTCTGTTTCGTGATAAAAGAAGGTTTATCAATTTCTTGTACTTTTCATCGAGCAATGGCACTCTTAAAAATAACCACAAAAAATTGATATTTGATGTTAATAATAATCTAAAATAATATGTCTCAGTCAATAATTAAATTGAACGCATTACCTGTGATCCTTCCAAGCTTGTCATCGGGCAAATAATTCGCAATAAGGCCAGCTATATGCGCGCCCACGCTGTACCCGAGAACGTGTATATTGTCCACTCTCGTACCCCGCGGATGATCCCTCAAGTATCTTACCAATTGAGCAATACATCGTGAACAAAAGTCTGGACCCCATTGTATTTGCGACAGACAGGGCTCGCGTACTAGTGTGCCGTAGTCGACAATTATAATATTGTAATCGCCACGCGTGAAATACGCTGAAATCGAAAGTTTGATGCATCGACATGTCATTTATAAGCATTTATATACCAATGCTTGAGAATCTGATCTAAAGAAACTTTACTTTATTTTCCGTGAAAGCCTAATTTTTTCTTCTTATAACATAAATGTTGAGCTATAAATCGATAAAATTGTTCATAAGTTTTTAAAATATTACAGTTTAACATAAACATTTTTCATTACAATTTAATAGTTTTTATTTTATATATGCTAAATTGCTCTCAAAATATTCTATATACTAAATCGAAAGTTGCAGATTAGTGTTTATTTCGGACTGAATTTTTGTAACGTCTCGAACGTCAGAGAAACGCTAAAATACTTTCACAAGACACTCGCTTTCAACAAGACATTCATTAATATTAAACTGTGAAATAGTTTTCATTATTTATTATTCCACTTTGCATATCGAAACAAAGGATATATATTACCCATTTGATTTAAATAATGCATATTTTTTATTATGGAAAACAGTTATAATTAAAAGTAGCCTCATGTGCTGTGCTTGCTGATTAGACTGCGGTTCCTGTACATTTATAAGAAACTTAAAAATCGTAAACAATACACGTAGTTTATAAAAATACGATGTTAACAGTAAAACGCATATCAATTTGAAGAATAAAAAATCTTTTCAGGTTTTATCAAATTAACGATATAACATTTTTTGTTGAATTACCTTTTCGGATATCTGGACTAGGAATTAAATTTCTCCCGCCGCCAAAGCCGTGAATAATAATCTTTGTAGGATGGGATTTGTTGAATTTAGAGTAATAAAGTGACTCGTACCTTCGAACGTCTATACGCAAAGGTTTTTTCTGCGTTTCTCTACAAGAAATTAAATAGAAATGTCACATAAGTATGTCACAACTTCATTCAAGAATGTGGATTTGGATTAACTCAGTGATGTGTAAAACTAACTGAAATACATTTGATAATTCAATAATAAGGTAAGTAGCAAAATAAATACGTGTAATAAGGAAAAAGCCAAGCCAAATGTTCTCACTTTTAGCAAGTTGCCGTTTCACAGAAAGAGATAAGTCTAATGCGACAAAGGAAGAAAATGCAAGTAAAAGTAACCGGAACGTGGCTAAGGTGTCTATAGCTATGGGAGAAAGGTGAACCTCGAAACGAGGCCGCTTTCAGTGCGAGGCGAAATGATCGTGATCTTGAAATCGAGAGTCTTACGTCGCGTCATCGTTCTTCCTTAAGGCGAACCCGGTTCCACGTTAAACCTTCTCGAACGTTGAAGAACAGTTACATGAGAAATAATGGGGTACAAATTCATTACGACATTTGTAATTCTAAGTACATGTTCGAATTCAATTAAAGTTAAAGTTTACTTGCGAAACACTTCAACCCATCGTTAGATGTTCAATGCAATAGATGTACTTTACTTAACTGAGTCAAGAGTAACTGGAAAAATTGCACAGAATATTAGAACATCTGTCTTATTGCAAGTTATATCCTTTCCTTCATTTGAAGACAAGATCAAATGTCTGAGTGGTAAGTGGTTAGAAATTCTAGATAATGAAAGCTGGAGAAATGATGGAATATTATGGTTTCTTAATCTTGAATCTGAGGTTTGTTATTCGTGCAGTGCTATTAAAGGGATAATTATGCAGGATGTCAAAAAATGAGAACACAACTAGCTTCACAAGAGTTGAGAAGAGATATTTTATGACTGTAAGAAATTTCGGAAATGACGTAATTATAGACTTTATAGTCAAACAATTATTGTTATTTATTAACGTTACTAAATAGATATAATTACATAGGATGATAGAAAAAAATAATAATTAAATCTGATAGATTTCGTAAGACATTAAATTTTATAATAACAAGGAATTTAGAATAATTGTAAAATTTCATTTTTTTCATTTTTCCTATTTTCGAAGAAAATAAGCAATTAAACAGGTAAACAATTACACTTATTACATTAAATATAAATAAATTATTATACTTGAATAATAACGTATTTATTTCACTCATGATTGTAAATGAATTATGTGAATGCAATTAACATAGATGAACGTACCTGGTGTACAAATAAAATTCTATTTGCGGGTGCGGGCACTCGTATGGTGGTCTGGCGCAAGACGTGCTGTTGAACAAATCCTTAAACGTTTTCGTCTCCGCACTCACATCATCTACGAGTGAACAGTGAACACCGATTATACTCTCAATTTGTTACTCAAATTGCATTCAGGTGATTAATTTTTCCACGCCTAGTTAATCACTGTTCTTTCAAAATCAATCAAGTGTCCATTTAATTTTATACACATTATTTCCGATTTATGAATAATGTTTCGGGTTTGATTAAAAACTGTTTTGTAACATATAAACATTATATAGTTCAT